CAGTTTCGTTGATTTATTTACTACAGTTGGATTCTTATTTTTATTGTACATGTTATATAGAAGTTAATTTAATTTTTGATATTTATTTGAATATATTTTTATTTAGATTAAGCTTGCGTTTTACTAAGTTTGGCGTCTTTTACAAACCTTAAAATTAAAAAGCAAAAAGGTGGAATAAAGGACCAATATCGGCCCATCGGAGGGTTAAGAAAAGGTGAAAAAAGACGACCAAAATAAATTATATGTTGTGAGAAAATATAGTTAAAAACTTATAGATTTTTAGATCTGTTATTTATATGTACCACTTGTCTCATAAAATGGGAGATGCCCAAGTTGACTTTTATTTGCAGGAATCGCCGGTTGATCTAAAAGCTCTCAAACATAACTTATTTTGTAAACCGAGTAAAATTAAGAATATAAAATATTATACCTAACAACAGGCATACGGTAGATACAGTAAACATGAAATGTCTAAAAACACCTTCGTAGTACTCGTCAATAAACCAAAGGAATAAGTTTACGTCATTTTCGCGACATAAATAATGTGAGAATATTCCGTGAGCAAATAATGTGCCAAATGTCAATGTATATGTAACAATGTAACCATTTCTAGCCTTATTGTCGAACATTTCTTCAAACTTTTTGTTTTCTGTAGTAAGCTGCTTAGCTACATCACGCATCTTGGCTACCCCATCTACAAGTCTATCACTATGGTAGGCCCAAGCGCAAAGACCAGCGCAACCCTGAAACCAGGAAGCAAAATATCAATTAGCTATATTAAAAAGTACTTATAGTTAAGTTATTATAATGTTAGAACAAACTTAGAACAAACATAATTATAAAGTACATTTACATAAACAAATCGAAACAAGTCATTAATAGGCTATAAACTCGAAATTCAATAAAATTGACAAAACACTAATTTATTATCACCATAAAAATTTGCCTCTGCTCTCCTCTTTTTCTGTACTGCTTGTGTTTGTGGACTTATTCTTTCATTACAAGATTTTTTTGGCCGTAAACCATCTGGATTTCCTCTATGATTTCTATTGAAATGTCATTTAGAGTGTTGATTTTCCGGTCTGGAATTTTATTGCTTTAGAGAATACTGTTGATGTGTTTTTCAAATGCATTTGTATTACTAGGCTCTATTCAGGTGTGTGTAGGTTTTTTTTTGATCATGCGATATCTTTCTTTCCCAAGGTCTATTTCTAATGACGCTTTTACCATTACGGTGCTAATGAGCTTACCACACAAGAAATTTAACCAAATACAATGTAAGGAGTTGTATATTAGCCTCGTAAGCAAAATAATAATAAGTGACTGACATCATTAAACGAATGGTCAGACTAAAATGGAGATGGTTAAGAATTTGTTTTGACTTTCCAGTAAAGCATTTGTTAATTTATTATTTAAGTCGTCTATATTATTTTCTGTTTCAAGACTACTAAGTTTGTCGGAAATAGATTGCTGAAAACTATCTACATCTGATGGTTTCATCCATGATTTCAATTTGTTATTTTTTTTAATTATCTTATACCTCTCGTTCTTTAAGCTAATTTGTGGTTCTCTGTGGTTTCTTTTTAAAAAAGTTGTTCATTTGGAATAGTTTATGTTGCAGCATGAACCGTAACAGTATTTTGCTACGTTTATTTTTACCATATAAGTCAAAGTACCCAGTGGTGTTTCTGTCAGTTTGGATTTCATTCTTGTTTTGGCGCTAAAATCACCACATATAAAAGTAAAATGTCCTTGATGGTCTATAAGAGCAGCTTCGATATCATCATAAAATAGATCCACTTCTTCTTTATCATGGTCTGTGTTGATGCATAAACTTGTAATATTTTCATAATATACCATGTATTAACTTTGAGAGTAAGACAAATCACTCTTGTGGAAAATTTCTTTAGTGATGCTATAATTGTTTGGAGACGCTTGTGTACAACGACGCCGGTTTATCCCAAGGAATTATTGTCGTCACTTACGTGGTAAAAACTATGTCCTGATTTTAGTTTAATTAAGTGTTCGCCACGTTTTGTGACTTCGCTGAGACCGTATTTTTTTATTTTTCTTAAATTCTAACAAAATATGCATTTCTCTGAAACAATAAACATTTAATATGATTGATATATCTACCGGTTGTACTAAGCAAACTGCCGTTAACTGAAGATAATCTCTCCATCCTGCAGAAATTGCCACCTTCAGTGCTACCAATGTGTGTATTTCAATAAACAAAATAGAGAACGCACTGAGACATTTTATTATCCAAGTATGATTTCCCAATGTCATTAACTGACCCAGCATATACAGCTTATCACCTAAAATAAAAATTAAATATTACTCCTTACTTTTTTATTTTTCTAACGAAAAAATACTATTTATATTACCATACCGCTATTATTAAACGACAACTAGTTTTAAGAGTTTTCCGCCCTATTTAACAAAAAATTTCTTCTTAACCGTAAAATACTAACCATCGTAATTTTTACGACGCCAATATAGTGGAGACATTATATTTTCAATTTACACAGTATTTTTCTTTTTTTGTTAAATCTTACCTGAGTAGACATATAGGAAAATTTTTCAAAGATACCTGTGTAAAAATAGCAGTAGGGATCTCAAACAGGTAGGAAAACATGGAGGGGAGAGTGGAGCGACAGCTGCTATGTACAATGGAATTTCTCGGCCAGTTTACAGTTTAATTATAAATGAAACGTACTCTATTGTGTACATTTAAAAAAATAAGGTAATTAATTACGACTAATGAAAAGAAAAAAATTATTAGTACTAAATCTGTTTATTTAAATATATTACATTGTTGTCTACATTAAATAATATTTTCTTCTACTTCATCTATCTGTATAATAGGTGAAAGTTGGAACAACTATTTCCGCTACACTGTAAACATGCTACACTGCAGTATAAACCATTTTTTCGGCATCCACACGCAGCTCCACATCCCTTTTTGCAATTACAAAATAACATTTGCAATAAATTATCCGGAGTCTCCGGAGTTCGTAGTTGATTCATTGTTATTGGAATGTACATGTTATTGGAATACTTCCATCCCCAATTTTCAATAACTACGTCATTTCCTAGCCATATCTGAATTTGTACGTACACTCTTTTAAGATACTCAAACGCTGCATCAGTTGTTGGAGGCAGTGATGACAAAAAAACACTCGTATTTTGGCTGTTGCTTTTATAAAAGAATTTAAGCTCAATATATTTAAATCATGAGTTTTAGACGGAGCGCCATATAAACTCAAAATACATACTACACCTGCTTGCAATATATTGCTGGGGTCTTCATTGATATTTTTAAATACTTTTACTGAGTCGTGTAAATCAATCCGTTTCTCAAAATTTTTGACAAACTTAATTTTTCCTTTGTTGAAAAACGCAGAAGTTGTGTTACAACCCATAGAGGCATGTAAAAAAAATGTTTTTTACAATTTGGTAAAGATTTTTCTAAACATTTCGATTTAGAAAATATATTTCGCGATCTTTATCTACCAATGCCGTTATTATCACTAGGATATCGAGATCTTCTGAAACTAGAACAACATCTTTTGATTCCAAATTCATTGCCGTCTCAACAATTAATTTGTCGGCATCGCTTTCCGCTTGACGTGTAAAAATATTGTTGTCAGCTAATTTAATGATCAACATTTTTATCAAGCGAATTTTATTTTTACTATTTGTCAAAAATTTATCTTGAGCAATTTTTAAAAACATATGTTTATCAAATTCGATATCTGCACATTTATTTTTTAATTCGCGACTATTCCGTTCGGCTGATATAATACTATCTTTTTTATACCCATCAAATACCACGTACGTGTAGCTATTAAAATTATTTTTTAAATATCTTACATAATGGTCACATATCATTGCAAACGTTTCATTTAATTGCCGTTTACAACAATGTAGTAACATACCTCCGTCAATAACATAATAGAGATTTTCTCCACTTTTTAAATTAATAGGAATTTCCGGAAATAATTCGTAAAATGTTGATTTTTTTTTGTTTTTCGCAGTTCACCATCTTCAAATAGAGCAAGTGAATATGGTGCCAATTCATAGTTCATATAATTTTTAAGTTCTTCGTCGGTTTTTTTTTTGAACACAAATACGTTGAAAAAGCAGTAATGGGTCAACAGGAATAACCTCTTCATGAATTTTAATTTTGCTATTTTTCGCCAATAGAGAAATTATTTTATTTTTCCTTGACAATTTTAATTCACGTAAATTTAATCCTTTTTTTACTGCCTTTAAACCTGCTTCAAAAGCATCGTAACAATTTATCTTTTTATCTCCAGTAATTCCAGTAGCAATAGTCATAATAGCATTTGTATCAGAAAAAGGGCGGTTTTGCTTGAAGAAATCCACTAATAATTTGACATCTCTATTATCCCTTTCTATTCTAGCATCTGTTGAATCAATATGTTTCAACAGTTTCTTTAAAGTTTGCTCAATAGTCTGATTACTTGCAATGCCAGAAAAATAATTATCCGAACGCCTAGATGTGAAATATCCTGCCGAAAATTTTTGAAACTCCGTCGGGTCCATTTTATGCTGTAATTCTTTCATATCTTGTAGATAAATTTGTGAAGCCTTCGCATGTGAATCATTAGCTCAATACTATACAAATGTTAATTCCAATCTCCCATACGGTCCGCAGCAATGAAGTCTTTTTTTTTTTGTTTATAATGGCTTTGGCAGTTTGCCATACAGCCAGTTACATGATCTTTTAATTTCATTAGGCGCAGTTAAAAATGAAGTCATTCAATATTGTAACCATTCGAAAATAAGTAATCCATAATTTTGAAGTTTTATTTTTATTTTCAAGCTCAAGTAGCTTATTTTCAAAAAATTTAGTAAGTGTTTGAAATCCGTGGTTTTCAGTTATTTCAGTGTAGTTGAACATTTAAAAAATCATAGAGTTATCTTCATCATTCAGTACATTTGCAAAATCTGTATTGTGTTCCATAAGATTTTTAAAAATTAATTGTAATTAACTGTAATAAAGTATGGGCACGCACAGCTCTAGCATACGCATGTCCAGGTGCTATGTGATCAATTGTATTTTCAGCATATATGGTAGAAAGAGCTTCTTCTATTCCACTTTCAGCCATAATATAACCAATAGATCCCATGTAAGATATAACAGTATGAAAAGAGCCTAGCCTCACAACAACTAATACTTCATCAGATAAATGCACAGCAGAAGCAATATCCCGTGCTTTCATGTATAGAGGTTGATCGAATGTTAAAATGCATGTTCTCATATTCAGTTTTTTAGCATATTCTACGGAACTTTTCATAGTTGTATAAATTGTGTTATAATCGCTTGGAGCTGCATTAATAAAAGGCAAAAAAATTTTCGATGACACATCAAAATCACGTGTATTAGTTAATAAATTCATAAATCCATTCCATCCAGAGAAATTTGTTATTATTTTTGAACTTCAAATACGTCCACAAAATATTTAATTGCCCATTTCTAGTAAATTTCTTAATATCCGGTTTAATTTCAGATAACTTAACTACTATCTTTGAAAATCCTAAACCTGTAAAAGCTGGATATATGTACAGAGAGATATTTCCGTGTTTGATAAATTCAAATTCTGGTGGGTATCTTTCAAAAATATTCCTAAATGTATACTCAGGTAAGATTTAACATATAAATAAAAAAAATGTTTAAAGTGAAAATATATGGTCAAACATTAATTTTTTATAATAATTTGATTAAACGATAAAAAAAATAGAGTGCACAAAAAAATTTTAGGTAAACATTGCAATTTATAGTTTTAAAAACCATATCCCACATGTATCATATTAATTCATTCACTGTAATTCTAATCCGAGGTTTTAAGGTTTTGAATGCTCCAGGAACTCCACTAATATCCTTGTCGTAGGATATTGTGAAAATAGTACACCAGTATCTCTCGACTGCTCATGTATTCTTTCTGACATTAGTGTATATCGAAACGTTTTACAAGTACAGATACAAGCACAGCTTCGTAAATATGAAGAAGATAAGTAATAACGTTATAATTGCAGATACAACGATATTATCAGTTTTTTTTTATTTTTAGTGTCACATATGAATACGAAAAATACAAACATGCACAGACCTCTCACGCAGCGCGAGTTGGAAGCTGAATTGCAATTGTGCCTGGAAGAACTTGCCAGATGAATCGGATAACAATTCTGATAAATCAAAAAGTGGAGCTGAAACAGAAGATGTTTTAGAAGCATTCCGTCCATTCAAATCAGAGTTCGAGTAATCAAGCGAAAATGACTTCCGACCAGTAGATGACTTGCTATACAGTATTAAGAAAAAAAAGAAGATCTAAAAAGAGTAATGAGTTGGAAAAACAGTTTACTTCAGTTTTTTTAAGAAAAGCAAGTCATGACTCTAAAATAGACAAGGAAAAGAAATGTCCTGCTAAGCAAATTCCATCAAATGAAGAATAATCTCCAGAAATTGCAGATTTCTCTCGTCGAGTCTAAAAGGTAAAAGTGGACAAAGGTGTTTCGCTCAACCAAAGGCCGCTACTAAAACTCAAAAACGTAACTTCGTACATTTTGTTCAAGGCTCCTCTGATAAAACCAAGGTAGCATAAGTTCCTTTAGATACTTTTTATTGTTTTATGAGACCAGAGACTCTAAAAAAAAAATTGTTAGAATATACCAATGCCGAAATTTCTGATAGGGAACAAAAATATAAAGTCGAAAAACTAACAAACTCGAAAGGGAATATTGATGAATTGCATGAACTCCTAAGACTACTTATTTTTATTGCTGCCCAAAAAGGCAATCATTTAGCGACAAGAAAAATATTTGATAAAAAATTTCTGGTGTGATATACCTATAAAGCAACTATGGACCGGGAAAGATTTGAATCTCATATAGAATGTTTACGTTTTGATAATAAAATGCCTAGACCAGACAGAAGAGAAACAGACTTATTAGCATTCGTTACATTTGTAACATTCGTTAAATATGGGATCGTCTTATACAAAACTGCAAAACGTCCTATATATTCGATGCAGAATTGTATTTGGGAAAGGGAACTAAAACCAATGAACTGCCCCTAGGAGAATATTATGTAATACAGTTAACTTAGGATGTGTACGGAAGTAACTGTAACATAACCGTCAATATTTTGTTTAAGTCAATACCGCTAACACCAGAGCTCTTAAAACCTCCTTACAACTTAACTATAGTTGGTTCTCTACGGCAAAATAAAAGAGAAATACCTCCCGAGATAATAAATCTCAAAAATCGTAAAATTGGTAATTCCTTATTTTACTTCAATAGTAAAATGGTATCCTATAAGAAAAAAGTAAATAAGTCTGAGCTTCTTCTTTTGATAATCCACAACGATCCAGTAGAATGTGATACCACTGAAAAGTCAGATATCATTAAATTTTATAATGCAACCAAGTATGGAGTAGACATATCTGACGAAATGTGAGGAAACATAAACGTTTCAACAAAAACAAAAAGATTGCTTCTTTGCCTGTTCTATGACATGATAAATATAGCTTGCATAAACTCTTTATAATCATAACCAATAACGATAGTAGAAAAAAATAAATTATTTGAAATGTACTTAATTATTAATTAGAAGATAGAAGAACTCATGTGTTCGTAGTCATTAGATTATTTACTTACAGCCTACTTTACTCCGTTACTCGCGCGGGGTGTTGTGAACACCCCATGCGTATATAACTGTTAATATTTTTTACAAAATAATATCATCGTCACCGTGCGCCTGTGTAGCTGCATATTTTCGTCGTCTCTACCACCTGGAAGAATCTGATCAGTGTACTGTTAGTCGTTGTACCATAAGCAAGTGCATGGGGTGCTGCAAACACCCCGCGAGTAGTTAAGTTACATTTTGTTTATCGATATTTATTTTTGTCGGTAAGTATATTTATTCTTCTTACACATATATGATAGTCTGAACATGTACTTTGTCCATATAATATTTCCAATATTATTTTTAGGAAAAATGGGCGAATATGAGGCTGGACAAGCGCGATTACTCAAACTTTTTGATGAATGTACGAGCGATGATGAAATACCATCAGAAGAAGAATATCCTTCAGTTGAAGAATTGACCCAATTATAAAGTGATTCTGAATCAGATAGTGAGCATGAAGTTATAAATGAATCTTCTAGTGACGAGGACTTGACAAGTGATGACGAACAAGAAGACGGAAATCGTTTTTATATTGTAAAAGACAAAATCACTAAATGGTCAAAGGAGAATAGTCGTGAGCAGGTGAGAACTAGAAGTCATAATCTAATTTCCCATCGACCAGGAACAATAAATATTGCCAGAAACTGTAAGTCTGTTACTGAATGTTTTAATTTGTTTATAACTGAAGACATAATCAAACAAGTTACAGAAAGTACCAACATATTTATTAGTAAACTTTCGGCCAATTACAAACGTAAGAGGGACTGCAAAGAAACCAATGAGACAGAAATTCGTGCTTTAGTTGGATTGCTAATATTATCTGGCATTTGTAAATCCAGTCATAGGAATATCAAAGATTTGTGGGATATTTCAAGGCTTGGAATTCAAACGTTTTACAAAACTATGAGTTACAACCGTTTTTACTTTCTCATAAAATGTCTTAGGTTTGACAATATAAATACCCGCGAAGAAAGAATATTGCTGGACAAGTTTGCTCCCATTAGAAGTATTTATAATCAGTTCAATATTAATTGTCTCGCAAATTATTCATCAACATTCAACAACTTTTAAATTTTAGGGGTAGATGCTCTTTTCGCAAGTATCTACCAAACAAGCCGGCACAATATGGTCTTAAATTTTTCGCTATATGTGATTCCAAGACATTTTATACTTTACAATTTGAACCTTATATTGGAAAGCAGCCAGATGGTCCTTTCCAAGTTAGCTATAAGCCCATTGATATTGTGCAGCGTTTGTGTCGTACACTCTTCGGTTCAGGAAGAAACATCACAACGGACAACTGGTATACCAGCATACCATTAGCAGAAACACTACTGTCTCATAAATTATCGTTAGTGGATACAATCAGAAAAAACAAAAAAGAGATACCATCATGCTTTTTCACTAATAAGGTTCCTGGGCAATCTCTTTTCGGATTCCATCAAAAAATACCAATGACTCTCGTTTCATATTGTCCAAAGCAAAATAAAAATGTAATTTTATTATCAACTATGCACATAAATGAGAATACTGTAGTTGAAGTTTCTCCAAATGTGAATAAGCCTGACATAATATTATTTTATAATAAAACCAAGAGCGGGGTTGATAGTGTGGACCAAAAATGCCAGACATATAATGTGTCAAGAACTTGTCGTCGTTGGCCCTTGAGGATATTTTATCATTTGTTAAATACAGCTACAATTAATTCCCACATCGTTTATTTCTCTAATAATCCTACTAAAAACATTTCCAGATCGCAGTTTCTAGATGAGATTGGATTTGCTCTAGTATTACCACAGATGGAAGCTAGGTCACAAATACAATCTATTCCAAACTCTTTGAAAAGAGTCCTAGGTAATGCAGGAACAAATAATGATAATTTGCCTGTAAAAAAGGCAAGATGCACTTTATTTCAAAATTGCAATAAAAATATGTGCCTAAGCCATATGAACACAATATATGATGCATGCTACCGAGGCCAGTAAATTTATTCTAAGTTTGTTTGTTGTTCTTTATATATAATAAAAAATTTTTGCTTCCACCTTTTTTACTTTATTTTTTTTATTTTTGCTCAGTTGTGTGCAATTTTATTCCTAAAATCTATGTTTATAAAATTCAGCGACTACACATATAGACTGCAATATTTGCTGAAATAAATAGTTTTACCTTGTGACAAACGTTTCACATTATATACCTGAAACATAAAAAAAGTTTGGATTTTATTACTTTAAACAAAAAGTAGGATAAAATAATGGGGTGCTGCAGACACCCCGCGAGTTGACACGTTCTTGAAATAGGCGCGAGTAACGGAGGGTTAACTAAGCAGATATAATGTGACTGACTAATAACAAACTTGTTCGGAACAATATGGAGACGAAACTACAAAGCATTAAGTTGGCCTAACGTCCTCCGAATGTAAACCTAATCTTATAGTCTTTAGCAGAACTTTCCGTCTTTTGCTTACATACATTTACCTTCTGTATAACGTGAAGAAGTAGTTTGTAGTAAAGGTAATATGGTGATTTAAATTCGGTAACTACACCTTATTTGAAAGAAGGATATTCAGTAAATTCTAATGGATATTCAGTAAATTCTAATAAATCGACACAT